TTTTTAATAATATACTTATTGTATCGAACTTTCTTAGGAGCTATAGCGTAAGGTCCGAATTGGACTTTTGCGGGCCAGTTTTGCCCAACTCGAAGAAAACTCGCAAGGATATCGCATAAGGTATCATACAATAGCTCTTTTGGTCGCGATTCATTTTCTAAATACAAGGAAAAAATTTTCCAGTGTCGAGAAAAAGTTGCCTGCATTTTCCCATGTTATAGACAAAACTTGAGAGGCTTCGTCAATCCTCCTATTCAGAACTTTGGTAAGAAAAAACAGTTATTAGAAAAAAACATAAGTATAAAGAAGTAGCAGTTCAGAAATCATACAGGCTTCACATTGCACTAGCCGAAACAGTTCAACATGGGGGCCAGTTTTTTAAAACAATTTATAACACTTGCGATACAACAAACATTAATCGAAAAAAAAATAAATGTTGAAAAAAAAACAAGATGAACCAAAAATTTCAGAAGTCTCGATAAAAAACAACTAGGAGCCCAGCTAAAGCTAGATATAGGTGTTTGATATTAAATGAATTTGTTATACCGATGCGGCACGAAAAGTGTGATTACAAAAATTGCACTTTGCCCAAAACCGTAGTTGATTTTCTACTAAAATAGCAGGAGTAAGAAACTGAAAACAACTCTCATACAAAAAATTAAGGCGTCGTCGCTTCTGCATGAAAAACTAACGCAAGCGGATCTTTAAATTGAACTTTTTATCTCTCATTTGATCGTGCAAATTATAAGAGTTTCAAAAAGTTTCTAAAAAACAACCCAAAATCGAAAAAACGGCCATAAGACTTTCCAAAATCCATAACTTTTCCCTCCAAAAAGCAGGTTGTGGCCACTTAAGCAGAAAAAATTCTCAAAACTGGGGTTTTCGATTGAATACAACCTGATAATTGGCACGATAGTTTTCGCGTAAAGTCAAAAAGTTTCCAAAAACCTATCAACATTTGAGAACTTTGACTTGTTTGAAGGCCAAAACTTTTTTCTTCAAAAAACTGGGAATAGGCACTTATAAAGGGTAGGCTTTCAACAACATATTGTTTTGACTAAACCTATGACATCAGATTTGGCAGAGTAGTTAGCGGGACATCTTAGATTTTGGAGGGTATTTCTGGAGAGAAGTCACAAACTTAAAAAAAAACGGTCAGAAGCATTTTGATGTTTCCGAGGGCATATCTTTTGGTTTAGAAAAAACGGGCGTAGTCACAAAATAAAATGAGCTTCCCACAAACCGCTCTTTGAATTGAACCCAATATCTCAGATATGGCAAGGTATTTTACGAAAATATTCAAAAAGTTTGAAAAAAGGTCAAAAAACCAAAAACTTGATTTACCTAGGGCGATACTTTTCGTATAGAAACTTTGTGAGTGGCCGCTAATGGAGGGAAACTTACCACAACTCGTAATCTCCAGTGGACCCACAATATCACATTTGAGAGATTAGTGTTTGAGAAAACTCAAAAAGTTCCACTAAACGGTCAAAAATCAAAAATTTGACTATTCCGAGGGCCAGGTGAAAAAAATTTGGGCGTAACCGCTTATGCATGCGAGCTTTTAAAAATCGTTCTAACTTCTGATTATTGAAACCAAAAACTCAGATTTGAGACTGGGTAGTTTTCGAGAAAACAAAAACTTAAAAATATTGGTCAAACATTTCCCCAAAAAGTTTTTAAGGCTGTAGACAGAAGGAGCAGGGACACAGAAAATAGGCGGTCTTTCGATTGATACGTTTTGTTTTCAAAAAATCAATAGAAGTTTCGGGAAAAACTAAAATTTTTGAACAAAGTGAAAAAAAATCAGAAACGAAAAAAAAATGGAATTTCAACAAAGCGAAAAGGTAAACATACAACCACCTTGACAAGTATGAAGAAGAGTATTGAAAATGTTTTGCCTTGAAACGACCAAAAATTAGGTCATTAAGCCGATAAAAATAGGTCAAAATACTTTGAGCCCAGGAATTTTTTTAGCGAAACAAAAAAAGGTAAAATAAAGTCAAGGCAAGTAAAATTACAAATTGTTGGAGTAGATCAAACATTAAAAGCAACATTAGGAAAAAAAATGCGCGCATCAAGAAAAACAATTCCAAGCTGTGACAACTAAGCCGACAACAGATTAGCAGACAAATAATTGGCCGACAACTTTATTTACACAGAACACCCATTAAAAAAAACAGGTCCTGCTCAGATTCGAACCAAGACCTTTGCTGTCTCAGGCACATTAGTTACCTCCAGGCTCAGTTGGCCGGGAGCACTAAAAAATTTGCATACATTATGAAACAAGATACCACTAGAGATGAGTCCAGAGAACAAAGTTATTTACGGGAAAAAGTCTAGAACCCGATTACAATAACCTTGCTTATCGCAAGAGTAACAAAAAAAGCGAGAACGTGGCCTTGAAGCAGACCAACTAAAATCAGCTGACATAGTTTTGATTGTCATAACAAGGCGCATACTCTTGAGTTGAGCTTCCCTAATTTAAACGTAGCCAATCAAATATTGAAAAAGAGTAATGAACGCAAATAAACATTTAAAAAAACTGACTTTGCTGAAAAAATCACAACTTTCGATTTTTCAAAAAAAAAATAGATGCCCTTCAAGCTCTTTGAATTTCTAGAACGATTCAGGACCGGCGATTTTTTTATAACATTAATTTGAGAAAACTGGACTAACAGGTAAAGTTTTTATTCCGCTTGAAATCTAAAAATTAAATTCCACTTTCGAAACTTGAAATCGTTCACGTTTATTTGCGCCATTTCCACGTTCATATTTGGAGAGTGCTTTTTACTTCACTTTCAGCAGATGAACTTCAATTGAACTCAAAAAGTGCATGAATCCTAGCTGCATCAATGTTCTACGGCTTTTTTTCCTGAAAAAAAAAACAAAAAAATCAGCAAGACCTATATAAGAGTCTTCACTACGTTCATTACTCTTAAACATTTATCTCTCGGTTTCCTTGCATCACTCTATGATTTTCAAAAACATAATTGAAATTAGCAGCAACAACTGATTGACGCGCCCAATAACACTCGTCACGAATCTATGCGCAGCCGAGTCACGCGGAGCAATCGGGCTCTACATGCCCATGCTGCCATGCTGTGTTTGAAGCTAGCGTTCTGTTACTAGTTTCTTAACTGTTTTGAGCCAGCAGAAAAAACGGCTAACTGCAAAAAGACCTAGCATCGACTTAGGTTAAATATATTGAAATAGGCTACTAGATACTTCTACAAGAACAAGGAGACAGTGGGGCTTTAAATGCATATACAACAGAAAAAAATATATTCTGGGTGCTAACTGGAACAATTGGTATTTTAAAACGAAAGTGATTAAATTCAACAAAAATTCAGTGCTAGGTCACTTCGTCCAGTTAACTTTATTTCCTAAAACATGTGACACACAATTTAATGACTTATATTCGAACGAAAATGTAAAATATGAAAAGCTGCTTCGTAAACTACGTATTTTGAAAAAAAAGCTGGAGTTTTCTTTTCAAGAGAACCATTTCATTTAAAAACCTTTACTACATGAAAGAATTTTCCCGTCCAAATCAATCCAGAATATCGTCAAGATATAAAAATCAAAGATTAGTGAAAATCTTAAGCAAAAAATGTCCTTGTTTGCTTAAAGCCAATTACTTTAATATAAAAAAAAGATTTTACAGAAACGCGAAGTTATTTTTTCTTCAAGAACACATAAAATTGAATTTAAAAATTATTCTCTTATCACGATTTAAAACATATTTTAATGCTTTTTGAACCTTTTGTACTTCAACAGCTTTCTAACGAAAGAAAAGGAAAACCAGAATGCCGAAGCTTAAAAAAATGGTCAGGAAATTTTTCAGCGAAATGGCCAGACGAGTTCGAAAAATAAAATTTCAGGCACCAAAATCACAGCATAGCAAATCGAAAATCACAGGCATAAAAAATTACAGCACAGCTGTATTTTCAAGTGCGGCAAACGTTTGATAAGTTTTTGGGTTTGTTAACATTCGATAGGGGCAATTTTGTGTGCGCTTTGTTTCCAGCTTTTGAAAGAAAAATGCGGAGAGTTAGTAACGATGATTATTTGCATTTTTGAGCCTTATATAATTATTGGGAAGCTTAGATAAAATTATTTTTCCATCAATATAATTCCAATTTGAGATACCTTTCACTGCTGCGAATATTTTGATTTCATCTGATCGGACATTATTCATCATGCTAGCATGTTATATTTGGTTATAGTGCATTGGCTTTCTTAAATTAAAAGCCTGAAGTTAAACTGCTCATAAAATTTCACATTCGTTTGTAGATTTGACGCTCAATTTTTCTTTACTCCTCTTCCCTACAACCATTTTTTTAATGTTAAACTTGTTCGCAATTTATAATCGGGCTTGCAGACTAGTGAGGCTATTCCGAATTTATATTATTTTCTTAGCAAACTTAGAAAATTCACTCGTCACAGCTTGCATCTGATGCTTATGTAAGATGGGGAACTGGTTATTCAAATGTCTCACTACGACAACAACAACAACAGCAACAACAAAAACACAAGTAGGTCAATCTTCAATCAAAGAGTGAGTGTCACATACAAAATTTTCTGCTTCTGAGAAACTTTTAAAAAAGATTTTTGGACTTACAGTCACAATTGATGGAACTGATGATTGACAGCTAGGGCAAGTGGGTTGTAGTTGTTGAAAAAAAACAAAGTAATTTACCAATGGGCTCACAATAATCAAATATTACTCCACAGTAATAACCACATTTCTTTCGTTCAAAAACAAGATCCATAGGAAGGAAAAAGTCCCAAGACATCAATGATGGCATCATGGAACCAAACATTCCGAGGTACAGCTTTTATTTCTCTGTCAAATGGAAACTATGATAGAACACCAAAATGACTGGCCAAATATTAAGTGACGGCAAATATATTACTTACTGTTATCAGCAATACGAGTTCTTCATTCAAAAGCTAGTCCTCATTAATCTGTAATCAATATTATGAAGAAAAAAATGCAGCTCAAAACAATTTATTGTCATTTCTAAAAAGTATAGCTGTATTAAATTAAATATAAATTTTCACAATTCTTCAATAGCATCAGCAGGAATTATTGGCCAAAACTTGGGAACATTTTCGACTAAATAGTCTACGTTATCTCCTTGCAAAATGATAATGTCCTTCTCTAACGTACATCCGGCACCCAGCTTTTTAGCTAGTGTTTTCTTGGCCTCGTTGACCTTGATATCGAATGTATGGAACCCTGATATCCTAGTTCTTGACCTCTTTCCTTCAACTACAACTTGAATCTCAATCTTCTGTTCCGACTGAGCAGTCTCTGTTTTCTTGGCTTGTTTTTCTTTCTGAGCTTTTCCGCCTCGCTTCTGTTTCTTCTTTTCGACATCTAGCACAAAACGGATTCAGTAAATCATGAGAGAAACAAAATAAATACAAACAACTTCGTTTCAAGTCAAGGAAAGGATATTTGGTTATACAACAATACTCATCATTACTCAATTATCGGAACCCTACCCTCGTAAAACATCGACCCCTGTGTCGGGTGAATGGATCCATCTAGTTTATTGTCGAATAGCACTTATATTTATAACGAATATATGACAGTTGAATTCTTCTAATTCATAATCGTACAAAACAGTGGGACGTGTAGAGTATAACAAAATTATTTCGAGAAAACTTTCTGCCTTGCATGCAATTTTCAAATAAAAAATGGCGTTTTCGGGCAATTGTAAAAAAAATATACAACACATTGATCACCTAGGGAAAATTTATAACTGTAGTGTCAGAAAACTACGCCATTTTCATGTTTCAAATCATTTTAAAAAATTAACTGAATTTTTGATACAAAAAACTAGCCTGTATTAATTTACTAAAACTTTATGCAAAAATTATTCTTGAAGAAAATTTTTGGCTGTAAGGAAAGAAAAAAAAACATGTGAACAAATAGATATACAATGGGTTTTCTTGTAAATAAAATAACAATGAAATTTCCAGGAACTGGAGTTCAAAGAAGCACTCTATCTGCTCCTCTGAAAATTTCAATCCAAGCCAAGGAATCATTCATGAAAAATTAGGACAAGAAATTTCAAATGAAATTGATTCAAAAACTCCTCCGGACTTCGATAAACTGTGATGACACCAATCTATTATTCAGACAAGGTTTTTTTTTATCGAACTAGAAGTTTTCAGAGCAAATTTTCTACAATCGATGAAACTGTAAAATTTTTAAATTGATTCAGAGAGAATTGGTTCGAAAAAATCAGTTAGATATTCAATCGATGAACCTTCGAAATATCTTAATTCATTTCATAAGGCGATATTTTTCTCAGCAAGCTTCTGAAGCGACGAATTTTTGAAATATTTCAGTTATTTCCCAAGAACAAAAGTATTTTTGCCAGGTGATGAAACTTAGAAAAATTTCAAGTTATTTCATAGAGTGAATCGGTTTACAAATTTTTTTTTTCTTTTTCAGCAGGCTATTCAATCGACAAAACATTGAAATACTAATCGGTTTACAAAATTTTTCAAATAGCTTAACATTTTTCCTGCAATTTATTCAAGCAACGTAACTTTCAAATATTTCAAGTATTTTTTTAGAGCGATCTGGTTCGAGAAAACTTATTTTTTTTAAGCAAGCTCTTCAAATCAATTCGAGTCAATTCTTTTCATAGAGTGAATCGGCTTGCGATTTTGTTGAAAGATTCGAAAGAGCTTTCGGAAAGGTAAGTTTTCGCATTGAAATCACAACCCAAAACTACACCTTCGTTCGCATTCAATCACGGCTACAAAATTTTGAATTTTAAATAATTTTTGATTTTTTTTTCGAAGTTCATGCCAAGTTTCAGGAATTCCAAGTATCAAAAAACCGCAATTCTAAACTAAACCCCCATTAGCGAGCAAGTAACTCTAACTAAAACCCCGTTAGCATCCAAGACCGGAATAAAACCACAAATCTAAATTAAACCCACGTTAGCATGCAAGTACGGCTACAGTACCTTGAATTAAAAACTATTTTGAGTTTTTTAGGTTTGGAAAAATTCCAAAAACCGTCACATTCTTCTAACCTTTGAGAATTTTGGCACTGGAACCACAGCATAAGTTTCAACCCCGTTAGCATGCAGCCACGGGTACAAAATTTTACATCTAGAATTTTTTAAAAACCTTTTCAGAACTTTATGAAATATAATCAAAAATAGTCCATATATGCTTAAATACGCGCTTCTTGAAATCCCATTTTGGGCGTAAAAATTTCGACTCTTAACTTCATTCGCGTTAGCATGCAAAGGGAACAAAATTTTGAATTGAAAATTATAATTGATTACCTTTCTAAGTTTTTAAAAACTTTTTGAAAGATTCGTATATTGTCCATATCTTTTTAATTACAAGCTTCTGAAAAGTAAAATTTGGCATGAAGATCACTAGCCTATACTTCAACCCCATTAGCATGCACCCGGGTAGAGAATTTTTGATTTAAAATAAATGTTGATTTTTTTTTCTAAGTTTCTAGAATTTTTGAAAGATTCGTAAAATCATCCATTGGTCCTTAACTACGAGCTTCTTGGAATGTTAGAATCGCAACCTTATAAAACACTCTCAGTATTATGGAAGCAAGAGTTCAAGTTTTGTATTGAAATAATGATTTAAAAATGTAATCAATGCAGCGATTCTCATATTTTTAAGACAATCTGTCTATACATTTTACGAAAACAGACCCTAAATTGAAAATTATCTTGACTTTGGATTAAAAACGCCTCTAGGAAATTCATGCCTTTAGCTCGAACATAGTTTTAAGCGCCTTTTGTTAACCATTGTCCACTAAAAAATGTTTAAGTATTGTTTAAGGCTGTTCACCTCTATGGAACAATAGATTAGTCCAAATTTCAAGACGCCAACAAGCCTCGCACACAAACGAATGAAAAATTATAATCGCCTTACAAATGCCCCAATATGATGCGACAGAACTGCTATTAGAGCACGCCAATTAACAGATTAAGCGGAAAAAAGCAATAGAAATAGTCCTACACCCACGGTATTCGGGTTATTTTAACACCAACATAAACAATGTTTCAAATAACGGAGTATTAAAATGCAAACACGCTTTAAATGTCTGTGAAGTCATCAACAGAGTAAGACCCAAATAATTCTTCAGCAATTGAAAGGAAAGCTGCTTAGGACAAGACTGAAATTACTGTTTTCGATCAATTTGGTTGTTAAAAAAGATTTTACGATAAAAAACAAAGCATGTCGTTGCAATAATTTTGCACATCGGAAACTTAACACAGAGGCGGAGCAGGGGTTCACACCACTTGCGATACAACAAAAACATGCATCAAAAACTAGCACACATAATCTGCGACGAAACCAGTAAAGTCGAAAATTTGGTAAGCTGCTAAGTCGAAAATTAATAGTTAAATTTGCATCGAAACAAAACTTAGAAGCGGTAACAAAACCCAAAAACTTGTGGGCACACACCCATTCAGCCAGCAAACAAATTTCGAAGCATAACTTTTCAAAAAGTAACCTCTCAATAGACGCAAGCGCATAAAATTGTTTCGCTCATCCAACGGCACAGAGGCCCTTAAACCAATTAGGTATAAACAGAAAAACCTTAAGCCCAGTAAACAATCATTCCGAACCAGGGTTTGTACAAATAAAACCAACATATAAAACAATGAATGGAACGGGTATATGATTTGCAGAGGCGGCCATAACATGTCTGTTGAATGACGAACATGCAGATTTGAAAAAAATATCCGGTGATTCTGTTGAAAAAGTTGTTAGAAAAAAAGCATGTTCCAAAATGGTAACCTCGAACGTGAAAATTTCGAGCGTAAAAATTCTCAGCAAATTAATTGACAGAATTTAACAGAATTACAAAAAAATCAGTAAAAATATTTAAAAAATTCAACAACCCCCGATGGGGCTTTAGAAATGGCCTTCCAAAATTCACACAAAAGCTGAGCCTTCAAGCAGAAGCGGGCTATGAAAAAAAGCCGACAAAAACAAACAGAGGGACGATAGTCCAAAACAGCAAAAAAAATCTTTTTCAACAAAAAAAAAACGCCTGGATTTGAACCATATGCATTCGTGGTGTTGTTAGTAGCTGGTCACAGGTATCGATTCGTCTGCAGCCTCAACCCGCTTTTGTCGATTCGTCTGACAAACAGTGACTGTGGCGATCCCAGGGTTTGCTAAGAGCTGGAAAACTCCCTATTCTAGTCCTGAGTAAACTCCCGTTCTTGGGGAGCAGTTTTGATACGGAGAACCGAGCGAAACTCCCGTGCCCGGTTCTGGCGAACAGTTTTTGATAAGTGCGGAGAACCAAGAAAAACTCCTAATGTGAGTTGGTTTTCTTTTCTGTTGAACCTACGAAACCCTTCCTGTTCAGATGTTATAATCGAAGCCAGTTAGCGACTTCGACAGATTAGTCCCACAGGTCGTCTATTGTAAGTGTTGTTGGTTTGGCCGGAGAGTTTAAAAGGTGAGGTACATCATGAGGACTAAAAAACAGTTAGGACAGATGTTATGGGTGTCTTCATCGATTGTCGATAAATAGCTGTTGAAATGGGTGCTATGTCCGCAGCGCAGTTGAGCAAGAAGGCATCTAGAACGCCGAGGAAGGCGACATTCTTCCTGTGCCGCATGGTGATTCGTTCGTTTTGCAGTGTTACTGTTTTGCAGTTTTACTGTTTCTATAGATATTAACTTCCGTCCCGTGAATGTTTTCCAAACCAAACTTGTAGTCTGATGGTGAGATAGATTTATCTTCGTCGAAGTGTCTTATTTCACTATGGTATTTTTCAGCCAGACTCTGTTTCAATTTTCTGGATTTATAGTTCGAGTGTAGGGTGTGATATTCAGCTCTGTGTGGTTGGTGATCTCCGATTAAGAAATGTTTGCACAGCATTTCATTGTGTGTTTTGGCTGGCAAGATTTCGATTTCGCAATGAAGATGCTCAATGGGGCTCATTATATTGCAGCCAGTTGCAATTCTTAGAGCAGTATTTTGATGTTTTTCCATCTGGTATTGCTAAGCGAGGGCGACCAGACTGGAGCAGCATGAATGAGAACACTACAAATGCCTTCGTCGTCTTAAGCAGGTGTGTTAACTCAACGCCAAATGCGCTGCATTGCTCATTGAACTTGAAAATATTATGAAGCAAATTGCAAGACCTTGCAAAATCTTGTAATGGTGTCTACGGAAAAAAGTCAAGTACCCGGCTTCAAAACCCTCATTACTCGCATGGGTAACAACACCCAGAAAACAATTTAAAATCACAAAATCTCTCTTATAACAAGAAACAAAAGGACGAAATCCAGGTCGAAAAAAAACAGTCGTACTTCTAGAACATGCATCCCAGATGAGACCAAATATCTTATTAAGCA